TGGAAATATGATAACCAGAAAAAAAGTATATTGTAATACATGTACCACTATGAAATCTATTCTCCAATTTGCAATTAATATTATTTTACTAGCCTGCATCCTTGTTTACAAATATGGTTATTTTTCCTATGGTATATAATGAATGCATAGTGAAATATGATATCTATAGAGGGGAATGGATTAAGATGCTTGAAATAAATAGTATATATGAAAAGAAGATATTCAGCTTCAAACAAAATACAGAAAATTTATGGTACTAGAAAGAAGTTTAGGTTAGCAGTTGACTTAAAAAATCTTTTCCCTCGGTCTGTCTTTCCCACACTCACTCAGTCTCTCTCTGTCTCTCTGTCTCTCTCTCTGTCTCTCTGTCTCTCTCTCTCTCTCTCTCTCTCTCTCTCTCTCTCTCTCTCTCTCTCTCTCTCTCTCTCTCTCTCTCTCTCTCTCTCTCTCTCTCTCTGACACACACACTCACTCATGCTCGCACACACATGCACTCCCTCTCTGATAGTAGTTTACCTTGTCATTTTCATTGTCTTTGTGAATTTCTGAATTAGTATTTTCTGTGCCAATGGAAATAACTTCTTCAATTCATTTGTTGTAGCAAAGTTTCCCTGGTGTGATTCATTAATAAGCTGAAATTTTTGTTTTGCTAGGCTTTAATGTTTATTAACCATTCGCCCCGGATTTATGTTCTGTCCCCTGTAGTTTTTGGTGAATTTTGTTACATACAGATGGCCCCACATGTACTCAGCCGGCAAGGAGTCTATCAGTAGGCCCTAGTTACCGACCCTGATTTTCTCATTCATTGGATTGGTGGGAAAATTAATACCATTGCTATCGATACTGTTATTATCGTTATTGATGTTATGATTATTAAATTGTCATTAGAATATTTTAGACAATGAAATGATTAAAAAAAAACCTTTCCTAAAGTGAGGGAAAAGGGTAAACAGGTGAAATAGGTAGTTCTTGATAACTGGCTATTTGGTGATTAAGAACTTGTGGAGCCATCTATGTGTAATTACAATAAACAAATGTGTATCAAAGTGCCTATGGCATCTATTCTTGCCATGTGTGGCGAATGGGTTAAGCTGAAATATTCTATGGATGACTAATAGCCGACAAATTTCCATAAAAAATGAGACATTCTTTATTCTTCTTCTCTTATACTTCTAATTTCTTTCCAGGATAAACATGTATTTAGTATTAGTTACAGTATGCCGGTAGCATCTGGCAACTTATTGCATATGAGTCACAAAAATTAGATTTTGGATCTAAATCAAAAACACTTTTACTCAAATATAACTTGACAATTTTAGTCTTGATTTTCTCCCCTCCCCTCTTACTAGTGCTTTTAACATGAAATAGCATTTAAATGTTATTACTTTTTGAGATACTTGCGTTGCATGACTATGGTATACCTTCTTTGTGACTTTATAAGTTTTAAAACAAAAAAACAAACAGACTGGTAAAACCTACAGAATGGCTACAAAGTGTTTCCATCTAGGATTCTGCATTGCCTGTTATATCAAGGGGGTTTATAAGATTATTCTTCAGTAAATAAACCTGTAAGGGTTTTGGGATCAAGTTTCCTAAACACCTTTATTCTCAACAGTACCTTGTGTTCTTGAAAGAAATTCTTGTATAAAAAAAACATTTTATTTTCAAGGCAGCTGATACTAACTTATTTTTTCTATTATCACAAACAAAAACTCAATCACTATTTTTAAAACTTTCCATCTGGTAGTATAGAAAGTTAACCACTTTCTGTTCCTGTCAGTGCTCTTTGTGACAGATCAAGCTGTAGGGAGTTTATCATTTTAAGCCAAAGTCTCAGCCTGAAGGAGTGACTGGTTCTGGAAACCTCTAGTGAAAATCTCAGTCCTTTTTTTTTTTTTCCTTTAGCAGTATTTGGCCATTAACTCCCTCTGGATGCACTGTGAATCCTGTTTTTTTTTGTGAGGAATTGGAGTGAAAGGGACTTTTTTTTTTAATATATATATACACATCTTTAATGAGCACTGGCATGAACTTTTAATAACATACATTTAATTCCAAGAAAAAAACATTATTGATCCTGTTTATAAGTTAAAATATAAATCTTATGTATACTGTGTGGGACTACAGCCTAAAAATATACCATTACATACAAATAATATCATATTGTTTACAAAATGTAAAAGTTCCTGGAAAAGCTGCAATTCGCAATGGACAATCCTATTCACAGAAGAGGATGTTCTATTATTTTGTTTTTCACTAAACATTCTTATTAACTCTGCTCTATTGCAAACACTTCACATGGTGGAAGAGATGGCATTTGTGGCTCAACACTCATGTGCTTTAAATTTATTTTGGTATACATTATCTTCCATGCTCGGTCTACTGGGCAAAATACAAGCCCAAACTCTTGTTCATAAATACCAACAAATGAATTAAGTTTATGTAGGGTTCCACAGGAGAAAATCCTGATCATGCCGTGCTCACTTTTCTGAGCCTGAATTCCACTAGACAGATTTGGAGAAAAAAGAAGTTCTGTCTGTCCAAAGACTTCTCGGAGAAGTGCGTAAGAGTTGGCCTGTCCTGTGGCATGCTTTTCCTCTCTTGCGCTGCCAATGAGATACACATCTACTGAGCTATTACTGCAGAACACTGATTCTCTGAATGTGTCTCCTGGCTGATGAGAACACACAGGCTGCAGGTAGTTTATCATACTATAATACCACTCACAAAACACTCTTGCAAAATCATCAGATTTCACTTTCTTTGTAAGCTCAATCTGTGATAAAGTATCTTCTTTACTTAGTAGGGCTACTTGTCTATTCTTAACTTCTTCATTTTCTTGACTGACAACCTCTAGACTGGCAGGAGTCTGATTCTGCCTGCTCACTACCTGCAGCTGTCCTGGTGGAACAGAATGATGTGGATTTGCCTCTTTTTTACTTTTATCATTGCTTCTTCTCTTTGGGTTTGTCAAGGTGGAGCCACCATTGAGACGTTTCATCTGGGGAAGAAATAGTCCTTTTAACCTTTTGCTGCCGGGAAAATGTTCACTCTAGTTTTCTATTATAAAATGTGTTTATACATAGATGACTTCACAAGTGCTGTGCCACCAATTAATCAATTAGTAAGTTTGTGATCTCACTTGATTTCCTCTTTCCTTGAGTTTTCAGGATTTTTTTTCTAATGTCAATAACAAGAATGTTATTATTATTATAGACTTTATAATTATTATAATCCTATTAGCATTACTAATATAAGATAAAAGAGAATATTCTGAAAATCAAGGAAAGGGGTAAACAGGTGAGATGAGCAGTGCTAGTGATGGATCCCTTGGTGTCTAAGCACTTGTGGAGCCATCTATGAGAAAACACCATTAATAAACTAAACACAGTAGACATGGAATGCATGTATATCCCATCCCACATGGATAAATATTTAAACAGTGAAAGAGGAGAGGAGGGACTTCAGAAAAAAATGTTAAATGAGAGGAGAAATATAAGATATATACAAACCCAAAACTGCTGTACTGCCACTGCCAGCTGTGTCCTGCTTGAGTGTGCATTCACAGGTATTTCATGACGATGCAAGTAAACAAACAGAACTTGTGCTTTGATGCGTCTGTATGAAAAGAATTTGCCAAGGTCTTCTGTATGCATGAGGATAATTTCTATTGCTTCTGTAAAAGATGAATCAGTATTACACAACTGAAATCAGTTTGGCAGGAGATCATTCAACTCTGAGGATATAAAAAGAGAAATCTAGATATACTAAAAACAAATGGGAATAGTAATTGTCTATGATCTGCTCTTTTGATATTTAGAATGATATAAATATGTAAACAAACAGTCATCCAAGAAAACACAGGCAAATGAACATGCAGACACACATACCTCTACAATTTGTTGGATGGATGCGGTTGTTGGTGGCAGTGAGTGCAAGGCCTCGCAAAGCATCTGGTTCTAACGTTTCAAGGAGTTCTTGCACCAGAGGTTGATATGGAGATTTCAGCAGCATTGTGGGGGTCAGTGGTTGTATGTCTGTTTGAAGTTTAATAAGTTAATAGGAAATAAAATGTTAATAGGGAATAAAATGTATTTACAAGTTGGCAGTCATACACCTATAACACATTCCACAGAGCAAAATTCATATAGGCATTTCCAATAGTTGTGACATGATAAACTACTGTTACAAATAAAAATCACAATCAAAACCAACCTGAATAAGTTATTCAAATAAAAAAGATCAGATAATTTATGAAGGATAAAAAAGGAGATAACAGATAAAATAGACACAGAAAATCTACCACTGCTTCTCAATAACAGACAAGAACTCTTTTGTTGTGTTCAGAATTCCTCGTTCAAAAGTTAGACAAGATGGAGAAACCTAATTTTGGCATTTGGGACAAGTTCATCATGTTCATCTTGCGCACCTTAGCAAGACTATGTCACAATAAATTTTAAACTACAAAAGTTTATGTGGGTCAATGTTTACATTCTGAGTGTCACCATAACGCTAAAAACTGTTCCATTTGAATGTATCTTTTGTAGCACCCAAAACTATTTCTTATTTTCCAACAGAACGCATAATTCCATGTGGTGCAAGAGTGACTGGAACTCCTGGAAAACTAGACTATAAACCTCACATAACGTTACTGTAACTAGAGTCGCTTCGTAATATATAAGGAAATTTTAACTTCAGGACTGCTTATACCGTGGACAATGATGGCCTCGGAGGGTTCCAATTGCAGCCACGTTCTTCTTCTAGTAGAGTCAAGTTGTCTGGTCAAGCAAGACCTAGAGTTCCAAACACAGAATACTGCACTGAGGGTAAAACTAGTACACCATCCTACAAAAATTACATTTCAGAGAGATTCATTCCCAGTATCTTAAGCTCATCCATACAGATTAACTAGAAAAACCTACAATCTCTCCTAAACTTGCTAACGTGCCTTTAGAAATTACCATCTCTTGCAATTCACACAAGGTCACACTTGTATCACATGGACCGTGAAGTAGTATAAAACACCAGAACAAACTCTTACATGATATTATTCTGTCTATCACAAAGATATTTGGCGTTTATTCTGCCTTCTCTTCATTCTCTCCATTTCTAAACTAAACATTTATTTTGAAGTATATAGACTATTAACAGACCTGACATCTAAACAAAATAATAAATATTAAACCCAATTTAACAAATCTTACCTATAAAACGACAATGACTCTTCCTTTAGGCTTCCTCTAGGTCATGCCGCAGCCAAAAAGTCCGTCAGAAGGAAAGCGGAGAAAAACTCGGGTCGTGACGTTTGTTTACATTTTGCGTCGATCGCTTCGACATCCGGACCGCTTGGAGTGTATTCAAGTTCCATCGAGGACTCGGAAGGATGGATTCAGATTTGCGTTGAGTTGCGTCGTCTAGTGCAGTGCTATATTGTGATGTTATGCTGAAGTATGTTTTAGAATAAACATACACACTGCAGGACATAGGCTTCTCTCAATTCATTATTTGAGAGGTTATTTGGCATTCTCACCCTTGCCTGATTGGATCCCCTTCCTAATCAACCTACACACACACACACACACACACACACACACACACACACACACACACACACACACACACACACACACACACACACACACACACACACACACACACAAACACACACACACACTCACACACATATATATATATATATATAATATGTGTGTGTGTGTGTATGTGTGTGTGTGTGTGTGTGTGTGTGTGTGTGTGTGTGTGTTTGTGTGTGTGTGTTTGTGTGTGTGTGTGTGTTTGTGTGTGTGTGTGTGTGTGTGTGTGTGTGTGTGTGTGTGTGTGTGTGTGTGTGTGTGTGTGTGTGTGTGTGTGTGTGTGTGTGTGTGATTCAACTATTACTGATCATTATAAGTATCATCGCGATTACCATGGTTTTATTATTGTTATTATTATCACTACCATTGGTATTCGTGTTGTTATTATTAGTACTAGGAGTTTGTAGTAGTAGTATCAACTGCAATAGTAGCATCAGCGGTGTAGTTGTGATAATAATAGCAGTAGTAGCAGCAGCATTAACAGCGGTATAGTTGTAGTAGTAGTAGAAGAAGAAGCAGAAATATTATTAGTAGTAGTAGTAGTAGTAGTAGTAGTAGTAGTAGTAGTAGTAGTAGTAGTAGTAGTAGTAGTAGTAGTAGTAGTAGTAGTAGTAGTAGTAGTAGTAGTAGTAGTAGTAGTAGTAGTAGTAGTAGTAGTAGTAGTAGTAGTAGTAGTAGTAGTAGTAGTAGTAGTAGTAGTAGTAGTAGTAGTAGTAGTAGTAGTAGTAGTAGTAGTAGTAGTAGTAGTAGTAGTAGTAGTAGTAGTAGTAGTAGTAGTAGTAGTAGTAGTAGTAGTAGTAGTAGTAGTAGTAGTAGTAGTAGTAGTAGTAGTAGTAGTAGTAGTAGTAGTAGTAGTAGTAGTAGTAGTAGTAGTAGTAGTAGTAGTAGTAGTAGTAGTAGTAGTAGTAGTAGTAGTAGTAGTAGTAGTAGTAGTAGTAGTAGTAGTAGTAGTAGTAATAGTAGTAGTAGTAGTAGTAGTAGTAGTAGTAGTAGTAGTAGTAGTAGTAGTAGTAGTAGTAGTAGTAGTAGTAGTAGTAGTAGTAGTATAGTAGTAGTAATAATAGTAATGTAGTGAGCTGTTGCGTCCCCGCATTACCGCACGGCCAGTCCCCCCCCCCCCCCACCGTCCTAGAACCACGTGGTCAGCTGTGATGTCACAGAGGCACCTCTTTGTAAACAAGGCTCAAATTACGTTTATAAGACAATGTGGTTTAGTATGTGTTATAACAGATTGGTTTTCTTTTTACAATTTCCTCTTCTCGTTGAAATAATCTGTTTTTGTTTAGTTCCCCATCAGTAACAATGGTTTGCTTTGAGAAAACGTGTGGAAACGGAATCCTTGCCGGCGAACACTTATTCCAATGTAGGAGATAACCTCGCCTCAACTAATTTTGCTTGGTCTTCTCTTCTCCCCCTTTCCGTCTCCTTCTCTTCGTCATCTTCTTCTGTCCACTTCCTAAGGTGCTGAAAGAGTAAAAGCCTGGTTTTGTGTCAGGCATGGGCATGTATTCCCATGTTTAATCGCCTAGCCCGAGGGTAGACTGTTACTTTTCCCTATTTATTTCAGGCTCACCATGGCCAGTAATGATTTTCTTTAATCTTTATCAGGGCCATTAAGGATTGCCTCTTCATCAGCTAGTCTCTATATATTTAAATTCTCTGTTTTCTCTCCCTTGACCGCGGCTCCAACCAGTGACACTAATACCTCCTCCTCGATGTTTGCGGGTTATTCCTCAGCTTTCAGAACACACCCCTTCCTCTCTCCCAACATCGTCCACTCCATCTTCTACTGCACAGTCTTCCCCCCCCCTTATTACTGTTCATCCCTATTGCCTGTAGGGGCCGAATGATGGGCCTTACAAGAGTATGGTAGTTGGCGAGCTTAGGTGTAAGGTAGACAACCAAGATGTCTTGACTCCTTTATTGTACAGTCAAGATGGAATACGGCTGCGAGATGTTACTTCTTGGCTCCCCGCAGGGAGTTTACCTGTCATCTCCCACAGTGGTCTAAAGATGAGTATTACTCACCATGTGGTAATCAGTGGTGATGAAGGTTAGTGTTACAATAATGCATATCTTTTGTGAAGAGGATAGACAACACAACATTGGAATGTCTAGTGCGGCAAGAAGAGACGAATAAATAGGTAAAGCAGTGGACATGCTTACATGCATGTATATGTATGTGTGTGGGAATATGTGCATGTGACAATACTTGGTTATACAAGTTATGTGGAACATAACAATAGAAAAAATAGAATAACATAGGCATACATATTTCAATAACATTACATATATAAAGCTTTTGAGTACTCTTTCTGGCTTTCCAAGTGGGATCGATTCTTAGTGATTCCCCGTGCAGCCCTTTACTCTGACAAGACCCTTCTCTTCCAACAATGTCAACAAAAACACATAGGCAAAATTCCCTTTCGCAGTCATTCCGATCGTTCATGCATTGTCACAGTTATATCTGAGTCCCAAGCTCATGCACTGACTCATGCACCCTGACTGACCTCACTGGCAAACCTCTCGGCGACAAGTACTGGACAGAACGTGAAAATGACCAGCTCGCCTGCTCTGCTCCCCTCCCCAACCCCCCTCTCAAGAAGTCTCAGCATCTCCCCCCAGTATCTCTTCCCTACCCTAAACCATCCCACCTGTGCTCCCTTTCTCCTCCAGTCAAATTCCTTTTCCAGCCTAAATCCAGATAAACCAATATCTACCACTTCCGTGATGCTTACTCCTCCCCCTCACTCTACTTGTTGCACTAGACAATCTAAACATTCCACACACTCTCGGCAGGAGTAGGGCTCTCAGGACCTCTATGTCTAAGTCTTTTGCTTTGGTGATTAAGGGATCGTTTGACTACCCCACAGCAATTCGACCTTGGCCCTTGCGTGATACCCTGGCTGGTTTGCGCTCACCTTTCGTTGCTGCCGCGATCTAATTGCTTGCAATTAGCTTCGTGTCCTATAGCCAATTCTTTCCTTTACGATTTTTTCGGCATTAGGATAACTCTCTGCGCACCTTCTGGTGAACTGGACCCCATCTTCGGGCTCGTGCTCGGACGTGGGCAGACCTTTACCTCCCGCAGCGGAGGGTGTGTCTGGGGGGCCTTAGCGTGCCTGCCTTATAGTGCACAGAGAGTTGCCATCTTTTTGCTAAGGACTGGTATGGCAGACCGCCTTATGACTGCCATTCAGTTTAATTTCGTGTAGGAAACGAATAGACAGGTAGGAGTCTCTCTCTCCTTTTTTTGACGCCTTCAGCCACCTTTTCTCGTCCTGCGAATTAGCATCTGCTAGATTCCCCCTGCTTTCCCATCATATCACCCAGGCTTCAAAGTGACAGTAGCCAAACCCGAATAACTGACTTCATTTCTTTCGACCGAAGGCCTAAGGAAACTAAAAGATCATGGCTTCACCCCTGCCCCCTCCCCGGAAACGAAAGCAAAGTGCACGGTCGTGGCTAAAAAGATTGACAAGACGAACCTCTCACGATCGTGTGAGTCTATCTCCCAGGAAGTATCTGTTAAGAACGGAGTCACTGTAGTCGACGTTTACAAGCCTTCCAAGTCACGAATCGTCAAGATTCGTGTTTCTGCCCCAGAGGAAGCTCAGAAACTTTTCTCACGAGGGATCATGATGTTTAATGCATTGGTCCCAACTTATAACATAGAACCAGAGTGCTTTTTCTAAACAGAACAATGCTTACAA